AGTATCGTAAAATAAACTTAACACGATAAGCGTCATGAGATATAATGCGTGTGTCGCACCTCATTTGGCGCTTTGGGCCTCGTGACACACATGATGTGCTCACTGCTGGCAGTTATATTTGGAAATGAAAACGTTAAAAAACACGTTGTTTATAGAGTTTTACAAAAAGAGGATATTCTACAAATCTAAAACAAAAAGCAAATCTTATAAAATAATCAGACATTCTCATTCAAAAATGAACAAAGTAATTTCACAGCAAATCAGTAAGTTATGGTAAATGTCGATATTCTAACGAACACAAATATGGAGGAACTCTTATAAACTAAACAGATTGACAAAGTCTTATGCAGGAATAAGCAAAATACCGGTATAAATAAACAGTAATACAGATAAATATGGAATTACTACAACTACTATCTGATTCACTACTACTTGGAGAATACGCATCAGATAAGTATACATCCCCACATAACTCAGTACTGCCACTTTCTTCATCCGATAGTATTTCATTACACAATTGTTCAAGCCTTTTTTGCTCCGCTTCGTAATGCGATATCACTAAATTTGGTATTCAATAGTTTATAAACAGTAAAGCAATTTGGACAAGATGACGTACAATACCAACAACGCTTCAATAATAAATGACACGAAACAGTGCTCAACGCGCGACATGATGCAAGTCTTGACTTGCAAAAAACGCGACGCGACTTATGTGCCACGCGACCCGACTGTTCTGTGGGCCACGCGACATACCTCAGTACCTCAGAAAAAAAAATCAAAAAAGGGGAAAAATCATAGGATTTGAGAAAAAAAGTCAAGTCAAAATTTTAAACCGAAACTTAAAAGAAGCTAATTTGACAATAATAACAGTTTGGCCCAGAGGACTGGATTTTCAGATTCTACGAGAGGTTTATTTCTCTTATTGTTCATTTTTGATACCTTGGTAAGAGAGACACTCAACAATAACAACACAACAATAACGATAATAAGAGTAATAAGGGCTGGGTATACTATGCGCCAAAATAGGGAAACAGTCGTACGCTAGATCGTATATCCAAATCAAATCCGACTCTGTGCAATATGCAAATTCAACCAGGCACGCGAACAGCACAGGTCTGCGTATTTATATCCTTTTCTAACGTAGAGCGCTTGCCTTGTCACAACGCCGTCCTACTAGCGTTTCCCCATCACCCCCCCGATACCCCTCAGAAACTCTGCTTGACTGTGAGAGCGCCGTTAAACCGGCGCACTTCACCCTTTTTGCTTTCTTTCTTCTTGCTTTCTTTCTCCCTGACTTCGTCTGGGCAACCAGACCTTACTGACCTACGATACTTTAACAAAGAGCGAAGGTCCCACGGACCGCTCTGACGGACAATGACGAATAGAGTCCAAGAGGCGTCGTAGAATAATGGGACGATTGCAGAACCGTAGGACGGAAGTTCGAATCCACAAAGCTCCTTTTTCCAATTATTTTTTTTTAAATTTGGAGAAATACATGCTTTTTCACGTTCTGCGTACTTTTATTGCGATCGAACAGTTTTTCGCATTCCATAAACAATGTAAGCTTTCAAACAGGAAACCGGCGGTATACGTATGATATTTTATAATTTTTTTATATTACTTTGATAACATTTCAGAAACACTATGTCATTTCATAGCAGGTAATTTTTGAAAACAAACTGGATTATGTGACCTACTTATTTGACAAAATATAAGGCAGCTATTTAGCACATTGTATACAGGGTGTTTCAGTTTATTGTTGCATAACTTTAAGATTCGATAGAACTTTTAAAATTAATGCATAAAGTCTATATAAACATGGGTCGAAAAATGCGTGGCTTCCGAAATGCAGGATGTTTAAATTTACTTTCTAAAATAGTTTTTTTTAAATATTTCGAACAATATTTGATGTATAACAGTGAAACTTGGTATACAAGGGTTTTTTGGTACGACAAAACGAACCATGGGCATAGTTTTACTGTAGCCGCTAGAGGGCGCTCGCTACTGTACCTGTAATGTATTAAAATGACCGAAAAATTTTTCTTAGTGCAATTTTTTGCTTATGGAATAAAAAAACTGATTCTTCGCACTTTTCAACATAAAAAAGCTCTCCTGTGAGTTTTCGTTATAGTTAGCCGTTTTTGAGATATTTCAATTTTTAAGGTTCGATGCATTTTTAATTATTTATGGGAAAATAATATTTTTTTGCATTTTCGATTTGGGCATTACAAGTAATTAAGATGATCGTTTAGATTGTGTTTTTGAACACAGCAATAATTCCTAACTCCAAATAAACACAAAAAACAGAATATTAATTTGTTTAATTTTCCAATATTATTTTTAACAAATTAAATTAATTATTTACAACTAAAATGCTATTGGATAGTTAGGACAAACATACAAGATCTAAAGTAGTTGCTCGAATTGTAAACCCAATTGTTCAATACACAATTCACATCTACGAATGATCGAACGTGGTATAGCATTATTCAAATAAGGTCTTATTTCATCACATGCATTCCTGATTCTGTCTATTAGCATATCTCTTGTGGTTACGGGAGTCTGGTACACTTTTTCTTTTAGAAATCCCCTCACAAAGAAATCTAATGGATTTAGGTCAGGGGATCGTGGAGGCCAGGCGACTGGTCCTCCACGGCCGATCCATCTTTCTGGATAATTTTCGTCCAGTCAGTTTCTAACTATTCTCGAATAATGAGCTGGACAACCATCAAGCTGGAACCAGGCCAATCTTCTTAAATCTAACATAACATCATCCCACATATTTGCATGTTCAGCCTTTAAAAATTCCAAGCAGGTCGCAGCATTTAACCTTGCAGGCAAAAGGTAGGGTCCAAATAGTCGATTACGGTAGATACCAATCCACACGTTCACACTAAATTCATGCTGAAAACTTCCTTCCCGAACTGCATGCGGATTTTCATGCGACGAAATATGTTGATTATGAAAATTTACCACTCCACGTCTAGTGAAGCATGACTCATCGGTCCATAAAACGTTACTTAAAAGCTCCCTATTATTATCAGTTCTATCAAGAATCCACTGACAAAATGTGATTCTTCGTTCTCCGTCCCCTGGCTGTAGTCCTAGCACAGGTTGCAAATGGTAAGGACGTCTATGGTCATTTCTAAGAACACGGTGAACATGGCTTGCTGAAATTCCCAAGGCACCAGAAACTCTCCTAACACTTGTGGTCGGATCTCTAACAAACTCACGCAGAATCGTAGGGGTAAATCTGCGCTGACGAACATTTATATTTTGATCCCTTTGGAGATTTCCAAAACCATTTTCAATTATTTGGCGATGCACTCTTACAAATACTGAGCGAGTTGGATGTCGTCTGTTTGGAAATCTTCGTGTGTATTCTCTGGCTGCTTCTGCTGCGTTTCCATTTACAAAGCCATACACAAAATGAATATCTGCTAACTCTTGATTGGAAAATAAAAATGGCATTTTTATAAAACAGGTAAAAGAAACTAAATTTCGTGCATTCACAATTGCAAAAAAACGTTTCAGGTTTCAACAGACAACAAAACTAACTCTCAACTATTTGACGTTTAACTTTATTCTGCTTTCAATTTCGAAAATATTTGCAGGCACAGCCTACTTCTAATAATTATCGAGATACTGACTTTTTAACGTTATTTTATCATAAATAATTAAAAATGCATCGAACCTTAAAAATCGAAATATCTCAAAAACGGCTAACTATAACGAAAACTCACGGGATAGCTTTTTTATGCATAAAAGTGCGAAGAATCAGTTTTTTTACTCAAAAAGCAAAAAATTGCACTAACAAAAAAATTTCGGTCATTTTAATACACTACAGGTACAGTAGAGAGCGCCCTCTAGCGGTTACAGTAAAACCATGGTTCGTTTTGTCGTACCAAAAAACCCTTGTATACCAATTTTTACTGTTATACATCAAATATTGTTCGAAATATTTAAGAAAAACTATTTTAGAAAGTAAATTTAAACACCCTGTATTTCGGAAGCCACGCATTTTTCGACCCATGTTTATATAGATTTTATGCATTAATTTTAAAAGTTCTATCGAATCTTAAAGTTATGCAACAATAAACTGAAACATCCTGTTATACTAACTAGTCTAAGACAGTTTGAAACATAATTGTGTTTCAGTTTGCGCGCAACCTTTATAAACAATTCGGCGTATTGCAGTATGGAATATTTTCTTTATAAACTTTAAGACTCATCTGTCACCATGTAAAAATTTCAGCTCTAAATATGTACACATAAGAGTATGAAGAAATCTTGAGAAAATTTGTTTTCTTGAAGTTTTTCGTTCCTGCCAACCGATTTAATCCAAAAAAAAACACGTTATCTCATTATTTGTTGTCGAATTAAAAGTTTTCCCACAAAAATTAATGTACTCATTTTATGCGTCCATGATTTAAATACTCCCTTGAACGACTTGCAAGAATAAAACCAGACTTTACAATAATTTCGCAAACCAGGGGTATTTTCGTCTAATATGATTAGACTATAAAGATTTATGTTTACTTATTCGCCTGTTAAGAAGGAATTTATAAGATGAGGATACTGTAATAATTTTGAATATTAAATGATAGACTATGATGATAAAAATTGGTGATAATACAAAAATATGTATTATATGATACTGAAGTTTTCAATCTGAGTTGCAGATTTTTTCAAATGCTTATGATGAATTACTGCTGGAGATCTCCAACTTTGGTTGTAGAGATTTCGCAGTCACTGAGGCACTAATTTTACAATTTTTCAGAGGATATTTGTATCTAAACTGTCTAGGAGAAAATGAATACATGCGATTCTTTATAGTAAAATAAAGCTTTTGAATTCAAAATTATCGGGTGCTAATTTTCCTCTTTTCATACTGATATTATTTCAAATCCATTACCTTTGTATTAAATATTGTAGTGTGTGGCAGTTTTTGATACAATTATCCCCAAAGATTCATCGCTTCTAATGTTGATTCTTTCCAGCATGATCATCAAGAATCTGATCACAACGAAGAAGACGACGATGATCTTGATATTTTATCACAGATTAAAAGGGCGCAAGCATTGAAAGACAAGAGTGATAATAAGAAACCCAAACCCTTGCCCAAACCTGTAGTTAAAGAAGGCGTTACAGAAAAGTCTACTAAAAATGTACCAGGTATGATTCGTCTCCAAAAATATCAATGTTACTTACTAAATATTCCGCTGGGTGGCTCCTCCTCATTCGGCAGACAGAGACCGTCTACCACAGCGCACGGTAACAGATTAATAGACGCCCACCACCTCGCCACCGCTGCTGCCTAGTATTGGATATTTTAGGTTGGGGGTTTATTGTGGAATATACTTCATCTCAAAATATTTATATTTGTGCTTTCAGAACGAACTGGGCTCAAGCTTGTAGCAGGCTACAGTGATAGTGAAGAAGATGAGCCTCCTGAAAGCCCAATAGTAAAGACGACAGCATTTGTGCAGCCAGAATCACACAGTACATTGTTTCCAATTACGAAACCTATTGATATAAAAGATTTTGCACAGCCAAAGACTGAAACTGAAGAGAAAGCACCTGATCAGGATGACTTTATTGATGCAAAGGCATTTCAGAGGAAGAGGAGGATAGGTGTGGCTCTAGTTAATACTGCAAAAAAGAAGGAAGATGTTGTAGACGGAGATAGTGAAAGAAAAGGATTAGGGTAAGTAAAACATAGTCAAATAAGTCAGTGTTGCAAAAAAGCACGATATTTTGGAAAAATCGTAATTTCTGATTTCTCCGATTGAATCGTGTTTATTTTTTGTTTTGTTTTTTATCAATTTGTACGACGAAGGCGTAGGAAGTATAGAGTCAATCTACTTGGCGTCATTTTTTTTCTTGAGAAGTGAATCACCTGTTACATGTGCAGTAGCGGACAAAAGTTTGGAAACATTCTTAGTAATTTTTAAAAAGTACTCTAATTTTTTATTCTTTATTATTAAGGACTATTTTTTTCTCATATATATACTGAGTGACATATAAATCCGAACACCCAGTTTAAATAGTTTTATTTTAATAAAATTTTGTATAAGTACTTAATGAAGCATAATAAGTAAATGATAAAAATTTCAAAATGATTGCACTGCTTTAAAGCCCTTTGACCTTTAATAATGTGTGGATGCACCCTGGCGTGCTACGCATTCTCCAACGCGCCTAGGCATGCTTCTGATCAGGTGGTCAATGTCCTCCTGTGGTATCTCATTCCAGGCAACCACCAACTCCTCTCGAAGTGCTTCTAGAGTCTGAGGAGGACGTTGCAAATTGAGCAATCTCCTACCCATCATATCCCACACGTGCTCAATTGGGGATAAGTCGGGAGATCTTGGTGGCGATGGTAACAATGTGACATCATTATGTTGAAAGAAGTCTATTGTGACTCTTGCAACATGTGGTCGGGCATTATCTTGTTGGAAAGTTGGATCTGCCAGGGTGTCAAGATAGGGTAAAAGATGGGGTTCTAGAACTTCGTGGATATAACGCTGCGCGTTCATGTTACCTCTGATGAAGATTAAAGGTGACCTGGAACCATAAGCTATAGCACCCCAAACCATAACTCCAACAGTGTGATGAACATGTCTTTCAACAAAAAACTGTGGATTCCTCCTTTCACCACGTCGCCTTCTAACCCTGGCACGACCATCGTGCATGCCTAAACAAAATAGAGACTCGTCACTAAAGACAATACTGTTCCATTCCTGATCCCAGAGTGACCGTTGTCTGCACCACTCCAGGCGATTACGTCGGTGTTCTCGAGTTAAAGGGAGGACCCAGTGTGGCCGGTATGAAAACAAGCCAAAACTTCTCATTCGTCGGTAAACACTTCGCATGCCAATAGGTCTTCCGTGTTCTGCAAACCATTCATTTGCAATGCACCTGGTAGTGGAGAAACGGTCAATTAAGGCCAATAATCTTAGGCGGCGATCTTCACGGTCTGTTGTTCTACGGCGGCGTCCAGTGCCCCTTGCTCTTTACGTACGGCCTTCTCGAAGCTATGCCTGACAACACCTAACCACTCTAACTGCAATTGCCCGAAAAGAAAGTCCAGCTTCCCGAAGTCCCACTATACGGCCCCTATCAAACTCACTAAGTTGAGGAAATCGTACAGGTCTCCGTACTCTAGGCATCGTAACCGATCGTAAAGGATGTCAAGAACCAAAATCCGCCAACGTTGATTCTTTACTGCGGCTGAAATATTCATTTTTAGAGCGTTAGTGAATTAAAAAAAAGCAGTATAAAAACCGGAATGTCCAACTGATAAGGCTGAAAATTTTTTCACTTGTTGGTTACAGTAAGATAAATACATTCACCAACTTTTATTAAAATAAAACCATTTAAACTGGGTGTTCGGATTTATATGTCACTTACTCACTGTCACTGTTTACAGTCTTGAGGATACAAATGGAATTTGTGTTTGCTGTGGTACTACAGACATATTATTTTATGACCAAAAATGAGACGACAAAAGTATGGAAACATTTTTTATTACAAAATTAAATACAATATCTCTTCAAAAAGATTTACAAAAATACTGTTTAGCTAATATTTGGTGGCATAGCCTTTAGCTTTCAACACTGCCTGACAGCTGCTGTTCATAGAAGACACCAATTTTTTACAGACGTCTGTTGGAATATTTTGCCAAATATTTTTTACATAATCCAATAAATCGTTCCTATTTTTGAAAGTTTTCTTGTCAGTTGTCTTTTAACATGCTCCCAGACATGATCTATAGGATTTAGGTCCGGGGAGCATTTTAACACTGTGGTATAGGATTCGGCACCAGCCTTAATTTTATTGGTCAATTTCATTTTACTCAACCAATAACAAGCCGGGTGCCGAAATCACTACCGGAATGTTAAACAGTGCTGAAAACAGTGTCAGAATGATATCAATTTAAATTTAAATTTACTTACCTTCCGCTAAAAATACGTATAATAATCAACGCACGTTGTTTCCTATTACGATATTTAATGATTTTAAAATTAATAATTTGGTTTAGTAATAAGAACAATCTCATGAAAAATTTAAAATTATATATTATAAAAAATAACTGAATTTAAAAAGAATGCAAATAAATGTAAAAATCTAAAAAATCATATACTTTTTTGGATTTTCGTATAAATAATCCGCGGGTGGAAAAGTGGTATTTTCCTCCCATGTAATGTAAGAAGCTAAATTCTAATATCTATACACAGAGTGTATTTTCTCATTCAAGTACAGCATTTATCATTTCAGGGAAGAAATTATCACTTTTCGTGAAAAGGTAGTAGAAAATAAACATATTAAATGTGAATGTTTATTGGCCCGTTCAAAAATAAACAAGAAAATTCAAAAAACAAGAATATTCAAAAATAAAAAAGAAAATTCGAAAATTAACAAAAAAATAATGTAATAGGTTTTAGTGACCTGTTCCATGAGACTTAGCATTCGGTAAATTTTGCTTTACATTGAGTGCTTCTTTTTCTTTTTCTTGGTGCGCCTTCTTCCTTTGGTGGCCGACCAATCGGTAACCTTTTGCAACCCCTTGTAATCCCTACTTATTTCGGGTCACTCATGAAGGCAACCTCCCCGACCAAAAAACTAAATTAACACACAAATACTCCAGATTTGCCTTAAAAATAATTTCATCAACTGATTTCCTCTTTTGAAGTCAATATTTTTTCATCAAATTAATATGGGACTACCCCAGAGGCATTTATACCCTTTCATTTAAAAAAATAATTATCATAATCTGATAAGCCATCTTGAAAAAATCGGTAAACACACATAGAAAAAAATATAGCTGACGAATTGAAAACCTCCATCTTTTGGGAAGTCGGTTAAAAATATATTTTGCATTCGTTTAAACAATATTATGCCCTTCGTGCGCCTTGAATTTTCGAAGTAGGTATTCTGAAAATCAGTTCTAACCCAAACAAGAACAATCTAGTTCGAAAACATTCAAAAAAGTCTAGCTTCAAAAATAAAAAAGCTACGGTCGTGATTAGAATTAAATAAATAATCCTTTACAATAACAATACACCTACCTATATACAAGGCGACGCGGATTTGCGAGACCACATTTGAATCGCCAAGTTGTAAGAGTTTCTACCTCATAATCTCTCAGCCACTGCATAGTGCCTTCTCCGTCTGTAAACTTTCCCCTGTATATATTGTTTTTTATTTTAACGCAACCATCCATTGTTATGCTCAACTCGAAACGTATTAAAAACGATGACGCTTGAACTTTGAGGTTATAATATCTAACGTAAACTGCGTAAACGATAAAGAACTTCCTTACGCATCGGCTACCTTCGAAATTCCGAACTGAATTTCGGTAATCCTCAACATTCGAGTAGTGATTTCAGCATTCTATACAGGGTTATCCAAATTAAGTGTCCACCATTAGTAACTTTGTTATTAGTGAAAATACAAAGTTGTTTGAATTAGCAAACTAGTAGCATTTTTAACGCTGGTAAAAATGAGAAATAAAAAAAACAATTGAGAGTCGTTATTTTGATTTTTTTCAGTAAAATAACATTTTTTTAAATGGAAACCCCTGTATATTATATTTTTTTCTGTTAAAGCATCAAATTTTAAACAAAAAAGTTCATAATGACTTTTCCGCTAAAGTCAATAATAAAGTCAAAATAACGATAAATATTTTTAATTATTTGCAGTATTATAATATTAAGACGGCTATGAAAACAACATGGCGTTCGCGATTTGACAGCATTAAGATAAGCGACAAATTGTTAAACTGGACATACTCGCAACTAGAAGGCTTTGGAAAACAATGATAAAATCAAATAATGTCAAACATTAGTGTAAATACTTGTTTATAAGCTTATAAGAAAAGTGTGATATGTTAGAATGCTATTTAGTGTGCAGACAGTACAGTGAATTATATCCCGCTCGCATTCAACCGTATGAACGATATTTTCTGAGACTTTATCGAAAATTTAGGGGCAACGAAAATGTTTTTGCTAAAACAAGGGCAAAAAAAGAATTCATAATAAGCGAGGCCACGGAAATTGCAGTTATTGGATATTTTGAAGCTTATCGTGAGAATTCAATAGCAGATATTCTCAAGGACTCTAATTTCAGTTACGGTACTGTTCAAAGGATTTTAAAAAAATACAAATTTATTCCGTATAAGTACTGACCAGTTCAAACGCTTTTGGCAGGGGATCCAGAGAGAAGACTTGTTTTTTGCCATTGGTATCTTAGCTTCTGTCGCCAAAATGTAAATAACTTTCGTTACCTTTTATGGACAGATGAATCAAATTTTTCAAATTCTGGAATGTTTAATAGAAAAAACCACCATTATTGGTCAAGAGAAAATCTTTTGTTAGTACATCCAAGAGGCCCACAAGTCCGTTTCAGTTTCAACGCTTGGTGCGGTATAATTGGTTCAAAAATTGTTGGCCCGTTCTTTTATGAGGGAACCCTAACTGGTGAAAGATATGTGGAATTTATGTCAGAAATTCTGACTAATTTCTTAGACGAATTGGATCTTATAAGTAGACATCATCTGCATTTTCAGCAAGATGGCGCACCTGCCCACAACTCCAGAGGTACTTATCATTTTCTAAGTACTACTTTTAATGATCAGTGGATAGGAACAAATGGCCCAATACAGTGGCCTCCCAGATCACCAGATCTAAACCCACTTGATTACTTCTTGTGGGGTTACTTAAAGAACCAAATTTACAAGCGAAGGTACGATAACCTTGACGCGTTAAAGACTGCAGTTAGGGAAAAGATAACCCAGATAGATGGTAGGACCATACTTAAGACAGTTCGAGCAGTTGAAAAACGTGCCCAAAAATGTATTGAAGAACAAGGTGGTGTTTTCGAGCATCTTCTTTAAAAAAAATTGTTATTGTATTTTGTAAGATTATAAGTTGATGTTTAAAATAAAGTTTGTCGATACAATTTAATTGTTTCAGATTGGAGGCCATAACTTCAACAATTTGTAACCTAGGAGAAAAGTTATTGTAAGCTTTTTTGTTTAAAATTTGATGCTTTAACAGAAAAAAATATAATATACAGGGGTTTCCATTTAAAAAAATGTTATTTTACTGAAAAAAATCAAAATAACGACTCTCAATTGTTTTTTTTTATTTCTCATTTTTACCAGCGTTAAAAATGCTACTAGTTTGCTAATTCAAACAACTTTGTATTTTCACTAATAACAAAGTTACTAATGGTGGACACTTAATTTGGATAACCCTGTATATTAGTAGAAGCAATTTAAATTGATAACATTCTGACACTGTTTTCAGCACTGTTTAACATTCCGGTAGTGATTTCGGCACCCGGCTTGTCATTGGTTGAATAAATTGAAATTGACCAATAAAATTAAGGCTGGTGCCGAACCCTATACCATAGTGTTAAAATGCGTCCGGGGATTGCGAAGGCCATGTATGAACATTAACATTTTTTAGTCTTAATCAATCCTTTACGAATTTTGAGGTATTTTGGGGTCCTTATCTTGCTGGAATCTCCACCATACAGGCATTTCTTCCTCATCAAAAGGGAGCAGGTGTTTACTAAGGATATCCTTGTAAAGTTTTTGATCCATTTTCCCAACAATTTTAACAATTTTACCCGTTCCCGAACTAGAAAAACGGCCCCAAACCATGATGTTGCCTCCACTGTGTTTGACTGTTATTAACTGATACTGATAAAACTGTATTCCATTGTTGTTTTGTCCAAGTTGACGAGTTTTAGCAAATTCAAGCCGAGCAATACGATTTTTTTTTGCACTGGACCCAAAATCTACCAAGCGTCTCTGCACTGTTCTAACCGAAAGATTCTCGTGACCCTCTGCTAAGATTCTTTTGAAAATATGTGTGGCTGTCTTTCGAGGATCTTCATAGGACAAACGTTTAATGTAGCGATCTTCCGCACCTGGGCCGCGTTACTGTTGATCCGTATTTTTGATATTCACTAATAATTTTCGAAATCGCCCCTTTGTTCATTTTTATATTTGCGAAATGTCAACATTTCTGACTCCACTTCTGAATAATTCAATTACTGTGTCTCCTAAATCTTTTGAAAATTATTTATTTTTGCCTTTCTCACTCATGTTAATATTTACCGCACGCAATATCAGAGTATCGCAGAACGAATAAATACGGCAAAACTGAAAAGTTTCCATACTTTTGTCGTTACAAACACTGTGGTATTTAAAAAACGCTAAGTTTTTTTATTAGGAAATAACAAAAACAGATGATTTTGTGGCCAGCAAATGATGGCTAGAACGTTTTAAAAGTCGTCATGGCATACGTTTAATGACTATTACAGGGGAGAAACTTTCTAACGATGCCAACTGCATAGAGCCCTTTAAATTAAGATTTTTGCAAAAGGTGAACGATTTAAATCTTGACCCGTCACAGGTGTACAATGCAGACGAATCGGGGCTTTTTTGGCGTGTGATGCCTAACAAAACTTTCATTTCTTGTAACGAAAAATCCGTACCTGGACGAAAAGTAAGTAAAGAGCGTGTAACCATACTACCATGTGCTAGCGCTGCGGGCACACACGCGCTTAAGATGATGGTCATTGGAAAATCTAATAAACCATGGGCATTCAGAAACATTGATTTACCTGTACACCATTACGAACAAAAAAGTGCATAGATGACAAAAGACCTTTTCAAAAAGTGGTTTGATGAATGCTTCGTACCTGAAGTTAGAACATGGTTAAAAGATCATAATTTTCCTCAAAAAGCGTTGTTGCTTCTTGATAACGCTCCCGGTCATCCGTCTGAAGAAGAACTAACAACTGAGGATAAATGCATCACTGCGATGTTTCTTCCGCCAAATTGCACTGCACTGATTCAACCAATGGACCAGAATATCATTCAGTTTGTCAAGCAAGACTATAAGAAAAACCCACTTCTGAGAGCCGTATCAAAAGACCAACCAATAGAAAAAACTTTAAAAGAATTTAATATGAAAGACTTGGTTTTTGCTCTTTGTCAGTCATCATCAACTATTAAATCGTCTTGGAAAAAGTTATGGCCAGATATAGTCACCACTCCTAGCAGCGTTCCACAAATCAGTGTAACTTCGGAAGTTATAGAACAAGTCGCTACCGAAACACAGATAAGTCCGGAAGATTTGGAAATCTGGTGCCGTGGAATGGATAAAGTGGAAAATGTTTTTCATGAAATGTCTGACGAAGAGATTATAAAAGACGTTTCTAATTATACAACAAACAATCAGGAATATAACGACGACGTGATTGCAACTGCTCCACAAGTCACAGCACAAGATGCAATTATCGCCTTTGAGCTAGGTTTACAATGGGCTGAAGAGAAGGGTACATCCTACAACGAACTTTTACTTTTGAGAAGACTGAGGGACAAAGCTTTGATTTCGCATTATAACCACCTTAAACAAAAAAAAAATTGATGAATATTTCCAAGCTTCAATATTTGATAAATTCATTAATGATTTTGATGAATAATTCTTGATTATTTTGGTACATGTTATGTATGTGCATTTATGCTTAATTTTATAATAAAACGTAAGCTCTCTATTGTTATTTAATTTACTAAATTCGACATACATAAACTATGTATGATTTCTACTTCAAAGTACATACATATACATAACATATATAATCTTACCATTGGATATGTAATTTGTCGGATTACAAGGTACTCTTTTGTAAAAAATTGCGGACTATAGGGGGTCTTAGGCAGTGCTCTATAATCCGACAAATTCGATAGTCCGACACTGCCCTGGATAATATTTGTCGGATTACCGGAGGTCCACTGTATTGATAAGACAAACCTTGTATTAGTACGGGAACCGAAGGTAGACTTCAATATTCATATAATCTGTTCCTTCACAATTTTAATTTAGGTATATGAAATAGTTCATAATAATGTTGTAAATTTGTTTCCGAACGTTTGTCCGCTACTGTATATTGAAATATCATATTTAAAACTCGACTTTTGAAAATCATTTTCTTTCAGTTTTAGTACAAATGAGTCTCAGCCTCCCCAGCAAAATTCGAATGTTTATCCTGGCTTTGCGAAAGGTGGTGTGATGTTTGTGAGGTCAGACGTGCTTCAACCTGCAGAAACTGTGGATGATAAAATTGATAAAAAAGAAGATGAGGAGAAACTTGTTAATAAAAAGGAAATAGAAGATATGTACCAGACATTAAAGGAAAAACTAGCATTTTTGAATGTTGACTCGGATGTTGTGTCGCCTGTACTTACTATCATTATCCAAGCTGAGGTAAGAAAAGATACGGGGGGCCCAACGAAAAGGTCGCACTCACGTTTGTAATTCTCCTGGTATATTTTGGGAAAACGCTCGGAGACGTCATTTTCGATTTCTAGGGCGACGTCTTTCCATTTACAGCCATACAACACAGGGTGATCGAAAAATAAGATATTACGTTACACTTTAGATTTGTTTTTTAATCTTTAGTTTATCCATGAAGTTTTTAGTAACTTTTGTATAATTAAGATTATAAGTTATAAGTTTTGCATATAGAAACATAGTAGGCCGCGCGGATCGAACGTCAGTACTGAATCTTAATCTCACTCCTTAGTAAACTTAAATTCAAAGTTTCACAACAATACGTTCTCACTACAGTGAATTTTTAAGTGTCACTAAGTCTTTAGAAAAATAATAATAATAATAATAATAATAATTAATAATTAACGTCTTTTATTTGTAATATTCTTACAGGAGGCGAGATTTAGATTATATATCTATTCTACCATCTAACCCCCTTAACAATACGAGATGTAAAAAAAAAAGAATTTGTTGAAAATTAATAGGCACCTGTATACAATAACGAATAATCCAAGTAAATACATAAGGAAAATATGAGGACACTTATGGGTTACAACCGATTTCGCTGCTGATCAATAAGAACTTCTTTCACTTTTTTCTTGAATTTGGATAATGGATTGGTTTCTTTTAAACTGCGGTCTAAAGAATTATATGATTTGATCGCATTGTAAATGTATGTATTCTGAAATAGAGACGTGCTGTGGCGTGGAATTGAAAAAGTCTCTCTATATCTAATATTAATACGATGCATATTCCCTCTACGTATGAATTTGTTTACTAAATATGACGGTGTTTTTGAATAAAGAACCTTATGAGTCAGATTTAGGAGCTGGTACTTATACATTTTATCAATTTTCATCCATTTGAGTTCATTAATGGCATTCGATATATGATCATATTTTCTGAGATCATTTACAAGCCTGCAACATGTATTCATAATACTTTGAATACGATTTCTTGTTATAATATCTAAATAGGGATAGTAAACCACTAAGCAATACGATATCTTTGAAAATACGAAATATTCACACAATTGCTTTCTCGCAGATTTATGTAATATAGCCTTATTTGCAAATAAAACTCTGAGAATACCGTAGCACTGAGTAATTAGATAGTGACGTTAAGTCATCATCCATTATAATACCTAGGTTTTTCGAATGATCCACAGGAATTAATTTGTTACCTTTTAAATGTATGTCTATGTCCTTTTTTAAGGTATTCTTTTTTGTTCTATTTGCATATACCAACATATTTGTCTTCAAAGGGTTCAAACGAAGATTATGACTACTACTGAACTTTTCAATTTTGGCAAGATCTTGATTAATTTTATTATTTGCCGTTTCCAAGTCATTACACCTAAATGAATAGAAAATTTGAGTATCATCTGCAAAAAATTGTATGCTGCATGATTTTACCTCTGTTTCTAAATCTGAGATATATAATGAAAATAATAGCGGTCCTAAGACTGATCCCTGTGGTACACCAGAACAAATTTTTTGTTCCGTAGGGTACTGTTGATTTAGACGAACTTTTTGTTACCGATTTTCAAGGTAGGTTTGAATAAACGAAAGAGGTTTTTCAGAAAATCCATAGTAACTGCATTTACAAATTTACATACAAGAAGTGAGTGATTAATGGTGTCAAATGCTTTAGTAAAGTCAAGAAGTATGAGAGCTACTGCTTTTTGGTTATTAAGTGCCATTGTTATATTGTCTGTTAAATCACAGAGTGCCGAAGCTGTATTATGACCTTTTCGAAATCCAGATTGTTTAGATGGAATAATTTTGTTAGAATATAAGAAGGCGCAGAGCTGCTCGTAAACAGCGCGTTCCAATACTTTACAGAAAATCGGCAGTAGACTGATGGAATGGAATGGAACTCAACCGAGAACATTTTCGCGCCATAATTTATTACAGCTTTCAGAGAATTATCGCAACAAGAATTAGTTTCTCGTTGGATACCCCACCTGTTGACTGAAGAGCAGAAACCAGCCAGGGTTAATTGGTGTCAAAAAACGCTTGACCGTTTCAATTCCGGAAACTCAAAAAATGTGTACAGCATTGTTAGTGGTGATGAATCGTGGATTTACTGTTATGAACCAGAAAATAAACGACCGTCGGCTGTTTGGGTGATCCAAGGTGAAGAAAAGCCAACAAAAGTCATCCGTTCTCGAAGTGTTTCGAAAAAGATGGTCGCGACATTTGTGTCAAAAGCGGGTCATATTGCAACAATTCCTCTTAATGAGTAAAGAACTGTTACTGCGGATTGGTATACCAGCAATTGTTTTTCAAAAGTCATCACCGAGCTTTGAAAAATCAACCCCGAAAGAAGAATCATCCTCCACCAAGACAATGCAAGTTCGCACACAGCCCAAAAAACAAGGCAGTATTTAACGGAAGAAAACGTGGAATTATTGGACCATCCTCCATATAGTCCCGATCTAAGTCCTAACGATTTCTTCACCTTTCCGAAAATTAAAAACAGACTGTGTGGTCAAAGGTTCCAGTCACCAGAAGAAGCAGTTGACCCGTTCAAAAATGCCGTTTTGGATCTGCCAGCAAACGAGAGGAATAAGTGCTTCGAAAATTGGTTCGAGCGCATATTAAGCTTCGTGGAGAATACTTCGAAAAACAATAAAGTCATTTAAAACTACCCACCGTGTTGTTTTATTTCCATATGCAAAACTTAAAAGACATCATTTTTCTGATACAAAAATTAAGAAAATCGTAAATACTATTAAGTACGAAAAACTTGAACGAGAACTTGCTGGCTGCTATTGGAATTTTGGTGAGAATATGGAAAAAATATATGACAACATAATAGGAAATATAAAAACTTGTTTAGATCTTGCAACTGATAAAAAAGAGATTTGCTCGACAAAAAATACACCCTGGTATAACAAGAATATTAAGGCAGCTCAAAATTTGAGAGACAAACAATAAATGTATATTCACAAAATCAAATGATGATTGGGAGGTATATAAAACTCTTAGGAATAAATGTGTATATGTAATTAGAGAAGAAAAAAGGAAATTCTACGATAAACAAATCGATAATAACAAGTGCGACAGTGTAAAGATGTGGAAGACTTTAAAAGAACTGATCAATTCGAAGCCGCATGATTGTGTAAATCAAGTTCAATTCGAAAACGGTACCGAAACAAATTCTTGATTTCAAACAAACTAAATGAATATTTTGTGGAAAGTATTGTTGATATTGTGGGTACTGCCAATGCTGCACCTGACTATATGAAAATCAGTTTCCAGGGGGAAATGTTACATACACTTTGAAAATTTCACAGCGTATCATTGAATTATCTAAGAAAAAAAGTAAACAGTTTGAAATCAAATAACAACTGTGCCGAAATGACTACTAAAAACGTGCTGAAAAACTGTTTCGAAATTTTGGGATTTCCTGCATTAAATTGGATCAATTGTTCACTGAGAAGCAGTTCTTTTCCTGAAAATCTGAAATGCTCTACAATAACACCAGTTCCCAAAATAAAAAATTCTAAAAGATGCAGCGATATGAGACCAGTAAAAGAAAGCAGGCTTTCGAACAAAATATTCCACAGAAACAGCTTTCCAGTTGGTAACTGAGAATTGGAGAAGAGCCATGGACTCGGAAGAAGTTGTCATAGCAGTATTTTTGAAGAGGGCATTTGAAACGATTGATTGAGATATTTTGTTAGGTAAATTGAAGGCATATGGTATAACAGGAAGTGTTTTAGATTGGTTTAAAAATTATTTGTCTAAAAGGATGCAAGTTACAAAAGTTAATGACACTATTTCATCAAAAATTGAAAATACGTTGGGTGTTCCACAGGGCAGTATCCTGGGACCGCTTCTTTTTATTTTATACATAAATGATTTACCTGCTATAGTAAAAAAATGCAAAATCAGATTTTCGCCGATGACACGATGATTTATATAAGTACTAAAGATATTCAGTCTGGTATCTCTTATATAAATGAAGACTTGAAGCTTGTCTCAAAATGGTTAGCATCTAACAGACTAAAATTAAAAGCCTTGTTAATCGGAAAAAACAATGTACAAATGTTCAACTGAATATTGATGGTGAAGATATTGAATTCGTAGAAAATTTTAAATACCTGGGGGTTTTTGTTGACTCTCGATTAATTTTTGATATTCATTATGAAAAAGTTATAAATAAGATTAGTAGTAAAGTGGGATATTTATCGAGAGTTTCTGGATGTCCGAGTTCATATAGCAGAAAAATTATCTATAATACCATCATTCTTCCAAATTTCTTGTACTGTTCGACTTTTCTATATTTAGCAATTTATACCATTTTTGAAAAACTACAAATTTTACAAAATAAGTGCATGAGAATAATACTAAATAAAGATAAATATACTCCAATTAGGCAAATGCTTAGCAAATCAAAATGGCTCAATGTAAAAAATTTTATCAAATATCTTGTAATGATATTCATAAAGTAAAAAATAATATATTTCCATCAAGTCTGACTAATTTAACATCATCAAATGTCGACCATCATTTACATAATGCCAGAAATAAAGATGACTTCCATTTAATGACCAAAAAGTATAACATATGCTACAAATCTGTATTCCATCAAGGGTTGATTGAATATAATAAATTATACTCGGAGATAAAGACCAGAAAACTTTGACAAAATTTAAAGTAAAATTGAGAAATCACTTGTTAAATCTACAATTATAGGTTACCCAGCATTTATATCATACACCATATGGCTTAAATTTACTAGTTAGTTGTTTACAATGGTTCTGTTTATGTAGCCAAATGTGCTAAATAAATATTTCTACTACTACTACTACTATTCCTCGTACCTGTCTTCAATCGTTTGAAATGAAAGAAAAAGCTTTTCTATGACATACGATGACGCTGACTGTTGCTAAATGTTCTTACTGGTATCTATCACTATTATTTTTTGCCGTACATTCCATTATCATCAATATTAAGTTAAGTTAGTCTAATTTTATTATAAACTCAAATAGCTTCACAACGATTGAAGATAGGTATAAACTTTATTACACAAAAGTTGCTAAAACTATCATGGAAAATCTAAAAATTGGAAAAATAGGCTTTCCATTTAAAAATATAGTGCAACTCAATATCTTATTTTGTGTATGGCTATAGATGCAAAGGCGTCTAAAGTATATTCAGATAAGAGATAGACCGGACATAAACAAGACCACGTGATCATCGAACGCTGTAACATTCGGCAGGGACGTATTAAGAGTCACGCAGTACATATTTTAGATAGTAGATGCTGCTTTGCGTAACTTTGTAGTAAATTAGCACAATTCGATGTGTATACGATTGGTGATGGATATAGGATCATGTGGGGGTGGGGTAAGAAATATATAATGATGTAAATATACATAAGGGTTTCAAAATTTTCGCTTCGATTTCCAGCTTCGGATGCCGCCTGATGTTTGGTGAAATACAGTCGAATATAATCTCAAAATGGCGTTTAAATTAGCCTAAATTAAAAATAATCGTATATCTCTTAAAATTGCTTTTAGAATATTGATTAGTATATTTTTTGATTTCTAGGTAAATATGTAACCAAATTAAAACGTTCAAAACGTAAAAAAATGTGCATGGTTGAACATTGTCAGAAAGTAGATTCTTGAATAGGTTTTGCCAAAATGGGTTCAAAAATGTCAATAATTAATTAAAAAATACAGTAGCTTTATAATTACTTATAACTTACCGAATTTGATGAACGACATCTTTTATTGGAAAGATGAACTTGATGAGCTTTCATCATCGCTACTGCCTGAAGCACCAACGTCAATAATGAATGGCTCGACTTGTTCCTCTAAAATATTGTCCAGTTCCCACATTCTCTTTTCAACTTTGTCTTTCACGTGCTTAATACAGTTTTCCCATTTTTGCGCTGTTATTAATTCTCGCGCTTCTTTGAAAAGTCCTTTGAGGTCATAAAATTTAAAAGTTGTATTGTGCTTAGCTATATAATTTTTAACCTCTGCCCATATGAGCTCAATGGGATTGAGCTCGCAATGGTATGGAGGTAAACGGAGCACAGTTTTATTTTGACTTGCTGCCATTTCGTCAATGGCGTATTTTTGATATTTCGCCTTGTGATCCTTGACAATTCTTAATAATTGTACTTTCAGCATTGCTTCTTCAAAGTTGATATTTTTCGAGCGGAGCCAATTTTGAACATCAACTTTCCTTGAAGCCGTTGTTGGGACCTTCTCCATTCTTCGAGAATGATAAGGCGCATTATCCAACACAATTACTGCGTTTTCCTCTAAGTTCGGTAAAATTTTTGAAAACCACTGTTCAAACGATTCGCCATTCATTTCCTCGTGGTAATCTCCAGTTTTCTTAGACTCAAAGCACCACAGACCGTCAACAACAAATCCATCCTCACTGCCAATATGGCAGATAATGAGCCTTTTCCCTTTACCTGGAAATCGAAGTACTAACTGGTGTAGATTTATTTCAATAAGCTAACCTTTTTCAAATGTTTTCATCACATTCAGCGAAAAAACATTGAGACATGAGTATCAGATTGCTATAATTGGGATTATTTAGTCATATTGAAAGAAAGAATATTGAACGTCGTATGATTACTCAGCGCTACACAATTTAATTTAAAGTTATAAACCTTTAAAAAATGAATGATCAGGAACCTGAAATACGCGCAAATATTAATATTAACAAATTATAACTTTATAAAGCTTAAAGTATGAATTAAAATGATTAGAAATATTAGGAACGGTACACAATATAAAACTTAGTAACTTTTTTTAAGTTTATAATATTCGACATATTTTAAGATTATATTAAAAAATTATTGAAATATCGAAAACACATAAAAACATGGCTTAAAAAAGTTGAACAAATGAAAATGACAATAAAACATGCACGCATTTTATCGAAAGTTATAAAAGTTTTGTTACTTGTAATATGTTTTATCTGCCCCCTGGAATTAATGTTTAGAATCTTGTTCCCAAGGTTTGAAAAACATCCGATTGTTGTCTATTACTCGTATTTACCTGTTGGATTTTTTAATCCGGTGGACAGTCCATCTAGAAAGGCCCTCCTGGATGAAGTTACAGAATAATCAACCCATACTTTACTTGTAGTGTGTCCTGCGTTTACCCACGTTTCATCAAGGTAATAAATCTTCCTGTTTTGATTTCTGTATTTCCCAATTTTTGTTAAATAATCCCTCCTCCATAGCACAATTTCTTCTCTATCCAGTAGTAAACCATTACGACCCCGTTTTTTCCATTTGAAATTTAAATGCTTCAGTAACGCATGGAAAGTTGATCGTTTGAAATTTGGCAACGTTGTATCTCCATTTACCTCCTGCAGTACTTTATCTATAGTAGGTATTTCATTCCTAAAGAAGAATTCATGCACTTTCCTCCTAATCGCATGCTTATCAGCTTCATCCAATGATTTAACAATACTTTTGCGATGTTTACTGGTCATTGGCTCAGAAAAGGTGTGATTTTTTTTGTATTGTCTTAACACATTAAACACTGATGCGCGACACACCCCAACTTTGTGAGAAACCTTCACAACAATTTCTTTGATGGTTGATGCCTCGTTCTCCTCGCGCTCGATCTTATATATATTCAAAATGACCTCTTTCATTTCTGCACTCAGGCGTCTTTTTTTTAGAGCGTTTCCTAGGTGGACTACAGGAGTTTACAACTTCATCGGCAGTATCTGTACTACTGGGCATTTTGCGCGAGCAGTTGATAACAATAACAATCAATAACAAGGTATAACAATAACAACGACAAACTCAACAACTTAATAAGATAACAAACGAAAACGTCCAAAGAAATATCAAATTGCAATGATGCACACGACATACGTAACACGTCTGAACCTGAATGTGACTCTGCCTTGATACGACTGCTCTGCCGCTCGGCATAGGCATTTAATTGCGAATTGACCAATGAGGGCTCCTGTTTTACGTCGAGACGGCGGCGTTAGCGTGAAAATCACCCGAACCTTTTGTTTACATCCGGTCTATCTCTTATCTGAATATACTGTAGCTAGAAATCAAAATTGACGTGTCCGAGCGTTTTTTTCTAAAATATACGAGATTCATAGGTGGAGGTGCGACCTTTTCGTTGCGCCTCCCTGTACAACTTGCAACAACTAAAGTGTGAAGTGTTGGTATATCTAACGATATGCTTTTTATAGATTTTGTTTTCGGCGATGCATGAGGGAGGTTTAAAACTATCATATCTGCAAAAGTGGCTCCAGAATACGTGCTCAGACTTGATAAAGCTAGAGAAGGAAGCGGCGCCTGAAGGCTGGCTGTTACAGTGGGATAGGTACGACTTACAAACCCTTCCGTTATTTTTTCTACATTTTTTATTTATCCTGTTATGTTACACGATCCTCTCGCATCCTTTTTGTCCAATGCATTTATTATATATTAACTTTGCTCCCTTTACAACAAACAGCTGAAGCCAAGCGAATAAGGTGAGTTACTATTCAGTTTCTCTATTTTACTTTTAAGGAATAAAGTTTCATATTTATATTTTTTATTTTTATCCCAAAAAATCGGTCTTGCATTAAACCATTGACACGCCTGAATCCAAGTGGGTATTAGGGATGTGCCAAAAACTACCCCTCTACATAAGAGATGTCTAAATTCATTTTTGTGTTCTGCTATTTTCTCATAGATGTCGCTAAGATCATTCAGATCCCTTGGAAGTCGGAATACATCTTCAAAATACGTTAATCGGTGATTAAACGGAAATACAGCTGAGTTAAAGTCGTTTGCTTTCACAAGTTTCTCCTATTCATCCCACATCAACGCGGGTGTTCCCAACGACCTCCTTTCCTGTACGATCAACTCATTCCACAGCTTTCCTGATGACGTCACTCTACATGCAGAAGTTATCACTTTTTGGGGACGCAACAATCTTGTACAGTTTAATGATTCCAAAACACAGTACTGTACTTCGACGAACAAAAAGCGTTCTAGCGCTCATCAGGTATTGATGGATGGCCAGATCGTGTCAGATCATCGAGGACTTGATCTGGCACGAACAGATCTCGTTAATAGCGGCAGCTGCTGGGAAAATGCTGGGCTATTTGTTTAGGGCTAAGAAGTGCTATTCTCCGCATGACCTGCTCACTCTGTACAAAGCGCAGATAAGACCTAGCCTCGAGTATTGTTTATACGTTTGGGGTGTTATCGCCCCTACTACATTATCCATCCAGAGCTCTCTTCCATGATGCCGCCGCGCGATGTGCCTGCCAGGCAGACCCGCCTGACTTCGTACATCCCGAACTGGCCGATCCTTTGTCCCTAGAGTGTCGAGATTGAGGAACAATCTACACGAGAAGGCTTTTTTCAATTCTAGCAACCTTGAGCAGTTTAAAGTTTGTATTAAAAAGGTTTCTTTAAACTCCTTTTAGCAACCGCGGTTTAATGGCGTTTAGCTGCTTCAGTGTAAAACAAATTTCATGGACAAATCTAAGAGGCAGTCTAGTTTTCCTTTGGATATAAACACATGGAAATATAAATGGAATAAAAAAGAGCAAATTTGTGAAAAATATCCATTGGGTTATTTTCGAACTAAATAGACTAAGGCTGGATTTCACTAACATTGAATTTTAACGGGGTCTTCTTATAAACATGTAAGGGTACTTTCTGGATGTAATACCATGTCTTTGAGCTTTAAAATCAGGATAACTTTCATAGAACCGCCAATTTCTATCATTTCACAAAAGACAGAGTGTTATTTGAATGGACCAATGAAAATGCAAGAAATAGTAGGGCGATTTTCTAGCTAGTATATTTAATAGGATGTTTTCACTGTTTTTGACGACTGTCCATGCATGGCAATCTAGTTTTGTCTCTATATCGCAATTTTTTTATTTGCAAAAAAAAGATATAAAACGAATTGAAATTATACTAAGTGACATATAAATCCGAACACCCAGTTTAAATGGTTTTATTTTAATAAAATTTTGTATAAGTACTTAATGAAGCATAATAAGTAAATGATAAAAATTTCAAAATGATTGCACTGCTTTAAAGCCCTTTGACCTTTAATAATGTGTGGATGCACCCTGATGTGCTACGCATTCTCCAACGCGCCTAGGCATGCTTCTGATCAGGTGGTCAATGTCCTCCTGTGGTATCTCATTCCAGGCAACCACCAACTCCTCTCGAAGTGCTTCTAGAGTCTGAGGAGGACGTTGCAAATTGAGCAATCTCCTACCCATCATATCCCAAACGTGCTGAATTGGGGATAAGTCGGGAGATCTTGGTGGCCATGGTAACAATGTGACATCATTATGTTGAAAGAAGTCTATTGTGACTCTTGAAACATGTGGTCGGGCATTATCTTGTTGGAAAGTTGGATCTGCCAGGGTGTCAAGATAGGGTAAAAGATGGGGTTCTAGAACTTCGTGGATAGAACGCTGCGCGTTCATGTTACCTCTGATGAAGATTAAAGGTGACCTGGAACCATAAGCTATAACACCCCAAACCATAACTCCAACAGTGTGATGAACATGTCTTTCAACAGAAAACTGTGGATTCCTCCTTTCACCACGTCGCCTTCTAACCCTGGCACGACCTCGTGCATGCCTAAACAAAATCGAGACTCGTGACTAAAGCCAATACTGTTCCATTCCTGATCACAGAGTGACCGTTATCTGCACCACTCAAGGCGATTACGTCGGTGTTCTCGAGTTAAAGGGAGGACCCAGTGTGGCCGGTATGAAAACAAGCCAAAACTTCTCATTCGTCGGTAAACACTTCGCATGCCAATAGGTCTTCCGTGTTCTGCAAACCATTCATTTGCAATGGACCTGGTAGTGGAGAAACGGTCCCTTAAGGCCAATAATCTTAGGCGGCGATCTGCACGGTCTGTTGTTCTACGGCGGCGTCCAGTGCCCCTTGCTCTTTGCGTACGGCCTTCTCGAAGCCATGCCTGACAACACCTAACCACAGTGTCTACACTTCTTTGCACTCTAACTGCAATTGCCCGAAAAGAAAGTCCAGCTTCCCGAAGTCCCACTATACGGCCCCTATCAAACTCACTAAGTTGACGAAATCGTACAGGTCTCCGTACTCTAGGCATCGTAACCGATCGTAAAGGATGTCAAGAACCAAAATCCGCCAACGTTGATTCTTTACTGCGGCTGAAATATTCATTTTTAGAGCGTTAGTGAATTAAAAAAGCAGTATAAAAACCGGAATGTCCAACTGATAAGGATGAAAAATTTTTTACTTGTTATTTACAGTAAGATAAATACATTCACCAACTTTTATTAAAATAAAACCATTTAAACTGGGTGTTCGGATTTATATGTCACTTAGTATATTTATTAGAAAATTATTTTAGTACACCTGGGATTTATTGAGTACGAGTCATGTCAATAAAACAGGCTGCGTTGTCATTTCCAGAGGCTATAATTTTACCTGTAAAAATAATATAGATGTTACCGGCAATCTGTGTAATCCAGTATTCTATACAATACCTAGGTAATGTATAGAATACCTAAAACGAGTAATGTATGAAATATTATTTGTTTTATACCTTGCCTAGGTATTCTATACAATACCGAATGCGCAGCCGGTAATGTATGAAAAAGACTGGAACAAGGAAGATTTTGTGCACTTCAAAATGTCACGTTTCTCATGTAAAAATAAATAATGTTTTCACTTACCTAATTCAAATTTTGACTAGGCAGTAAACCTACTTATTATTTTCAGAGGATTGTTTGTTTGTAAAAATCATTTACTACATTCATTTCCCTCCTACAAGCGCTATCAGGTTTGAAATGTCCCTAGATAATCAGCTGTTATTCTACCGTGATGTATACTCGTGAAAAATTTCGTATGTCAAAAACTCGATTGTAACGTAACCAAAAATACTCTGAACTATGACGTCACTGCAAAGCGCGCCAAAAATGAGGCGTTCAAATCAACGTGATTGGCATTGCATTTAACAAGAAATATAGACACTTACATGGAGTAAATATGTGCTTACGGTATTATATGGATTTACCTAAATAATCATCAAAGATTAAAAAAAAATCATATTTACTATTGTACCATATCATAAAAATCGTTGTCCAGGTTCCGAAGGTGTTTTACATCAGTATTTCGTGTGGATCATTATACAGGGAAAAACAAATTTTTATGTCGGCTTGAGTTCAGTGTGTACGAGAGAGGAGCGCGAGAAGTGTGTATCAACACATGTTAGAAAGAGGTTCGCACAGGCTTCTACAATAGGTTAGGTTACTGTCAAACCCAAGGAGGAGGTCTGTTCGAACATTCAATATTTTGATTTGAAATTATCACTCCCTGCGTGCACGCAGGTGAAAGCCCTTTCGAACCACGAAGACACACCCCAATGAGCTCTAGATGGGTACTGATAACAATCGCTTGTCTCTGATCATGGAAGTGGAAACCTTACCTTGGAATGTACAAGATGCGGTGTTGCCAAGCGAACCAATTCTGCAATGTTGCAGAATTTGAGGCGATCCTGACCTTTCATTTCGAACTACAACAGAGCGGAATCGATCCTGAACAGAGTCTTCCCAATTCAAAAATGTGTACGCTCAAAATAAAACCATTATTTGGGCGTAGAGAATAAACTAACGCATAGTTTCAACATGCGTCTTAATTCATGGAATTGCTAGGCAACTCGGTGATGATTCGGCTTCTATCTCTTTCTAACATATGTGTCTATCCACACTTCTCTCTTGTACACATTGAATTCAAGCCTTCAGACAAATTTGGTTGTCAATGTATAATATAAAAGTGGAATACTATTGAACGTAAATAGGTTTGTACAAGGTCATTTTTATTTGGTTTTTCGTCAAGGAATGTTTCAATAATTACAATACTTTGGACTTGAGTAAATGTTTCTATTGTCTAATCCTTAATTCTGTCTAGGAGCTGATGTGGCCTGGTGCATTCCATGAAGATGTATGAAGCAGGACCAGTAATCCAGTTTCACTTGGATCCATTTATATTCTTAATTTGCGCCCATTTAATAAATCTCTCTTGATATATTAAATTGATATCCGTGCAGGTAGAGTATGAAGACGGAAAGTGAGTTGGTTATAGGAACCACACTTATTTTTTACTGATTTCTTTAAACGTAATATGAAATTTTTTTTATGATAGTTCCGGATCTCCGCGATAATTTGTAATGGTACGAAGAGAACGTGTCCGCGCGACTGATAGGAGTTTCCACAGCTGTTTAATAGTAACCTTGAATTTGACCTTGACCATGACATTTGTCAATTCGATTTCTTTAAATAAAACCCTCATTTTTGACCCCGTAAATAAAAAGATCCGAAAATGTTACATTCAAATATGGCCCATTCTTAAATGTTGACCTTAGGTCATGATTAAGGTCAAAACCAGGTACGGTGATATAACTTGAACGCTAGTAGTCGTATAGGGAAACCACCGTGACATTATTTTCATGATTTTCCCCGGATATCCAATGGTGACCTTGGATCTGACATTGTGACTTTCAAGGTCATTTGAATCTCAACTCTTTTAATGGGATCCTATATTTTTTGACCGCGGAGACCGAGTGAAGGGAAATTTTTATGTTAGAATATGTACCTACTTGACAAATTTTTTGACTTGACCTTGAAGTTGATCATCAAGGTCAAACTCATGCTTACCTCAATTTCTTGATAATTTAGAAAACTGAATAATCCCCAGATACGAATAATCCTACTGTTCTTTCAGGATTGCTCCCTGGCTGGAAAAATTGGCTTAACCTTGGCATGACCTTGAAGGTCATAATGCCCAAGGTCATATTGGATATTCGTACTTTCCATATACGCGATTGTTAGTTTTTCCCAGCTATATAATGGTGACCTTGACCGTAACATTCAAGGTTATTTGGAGGTCAACTTGATTTCTTTAAATAAAACCCCCTTTCTTGATCCCGTAAATAAAACGAGCGGAAAATGTTACACTCAAATATGGTCTTTACCATTCTTAAATTTTGACTTTGGGAGGTCAAGGTCAAACCCATGTAAAGTGATATAACTTGAAAGCCAGTATTCGCATAGGGAAACTACCGAGGCATTATTTTCATGATTTCCCCGGACATCCAATGATGACCTTGGATCTGACCTTGGCTGTGACTTTGAAGGTCAACTCTTTTTTAATGGGACCCTATACTTTTGACCACGGAAACAGAAAAAGGGAAATTGTATGTTAGAATATGTTCCCTGACCATTTATGGAATCTGACCTTGGAGTTGACCATCAAGGTCAAACACAAGTTTACCTTAATTGTTTGATAATTCAGAAAACTATGTAATCCCCAGATAAACGGTTTTTCCAGGATTCTTCCCGGGCTACAAAAAATCGACTTGACCTTCACATGACCTTGAAAATCATTTATATTATGATCACATCCAAGGTCACTATTCGATATCCGGGAAAAACTATTAAAATAATGTCTCGGTAGTTTCTCTATACGCGATTGCTAGTTTTCCCCAATTATCCAATGCTAACCTTGAATTTGACGTTGACCATGACTTTTAAGGTCAAGTCGATCTCTTTATTTAAAACCCCCCATTTCTGACCCGATGAATTAAACGAGCGGAAAATGTTACGTTCAAATATGGCATTAGCCATTCTCAAATTTTGACCATAAGAGGTCATGGCCGAGGTCAAACCAAGCTATAACTTTGTATAACTTGAAAGCCAGTAGTCTCATAGAGAAACTACGGAGACATTAGTTTCATGATTTTCCCCGGATATCCAAAGGTGACCTTGGTTGTGACTTCAAGGTCAACTCTTCTAATAGTACCCTATATTTTTGACCGTGGAAACGGAATAAAGGAAAAATTTCATGACTCGACCTTGAAAGCTATCCTAGGTAAGGTCAGATCCAAGGCCACCATTGGGTTGTCCAAAACGTACACAGGAAAGTAAACGCATATTAAAACAAGAAAGATTGATATTCAAATCAAGTTGGGTACTTTATTTTGAAGGTTCATTTATACGATTTATGTATGAAAAATAATATCGCTCAAATGTTCACCACGACTGGATTTACAGACGTCCACGCGATGGTCGAAATTTTCAATGACATTTTGCAACATGGTCGGTTCTATGGCATTTATCTCGGCAATGATGTTGTTTTTGAGTTCTTGGAGGGTGGCTGGTTTGTTGACGTAGACTTTGCTTTTCAAATATCCCCATAAAAAGAAGTCCAAGGGAGTCAAATCACACGATCTTCGTGGCCATGGCACATTTCCTCTGCGCGAAATCACGCGATCACCGAAGAAGGACTGCAATCGATGGATATTGACGTTGGTTGTGTGGCATGTTGCACCGTCTTGTTGGAAATAAACATCGTCCATATCCATTCCTTCAAGTTGCGGCAAAAAATAGTCCTCTATCATCACGTGATATCGCTCAGAATTGACGGTAACGGCGTCCCCGGCCGCATTTTCGAAAAAGTAAGGTCCGATGATGCCTTTTGACCACAATGCACACCACACAGTCACTTTTTGAGGACGCATCGGCTGCTCTTGATACTCACGGAGATTTTCGTTCGCCCAGATGCGGCAGTTTTGCTTGTTTACCGTCCCATTCAAAGTGAAATGCGCTTCGTCGCTGAACATGATTTTTGATGAAAAATTGGCATCAATTTGGCGGTGTTCAAGGAGCCAATCTGAGAACGTTCGGCGCGAAAAATGGTAGGCCCGACGCAGCTCTTGCGTCAATTGGATCTTGTAAGCGTGTACATTCAAATCCTTGTGGAGAATGTGGAGCAAACTGGTTCTCGAAATGCCCAATTCTTGGGATCGACGCGTTGTTGATTGTTTCGGATCGTCTCTCACACTCTCCTTCACAACAGCAATATTTTCCGGTGTGCGAACGCTCCTTGGCCGGCCAGAGCCTGGCAGATTTGCCACAGAACCTGTTGCCTCGAATTTACGCACCAGACGACGGATGGTTGTTTCGTTTGGGCGGTTGTTGCGACCGAAATGTTCACGAAGCGCGAATTATGTTTCTCAGCCACAACAAGGAGTTTTTAAAAAATATTTATTTTGTAGACATGAACGTGTTACAAGTTGGAATGATAATGAATTAAATATAAAAAGAAAAATAGTTTTAATAAAGGTTTCTGCTGTCGTTGCGACTGGCGGTGTCGTCTTGCTGACGCCTCGGGTTCTTGACCTATAACGCCTCCCTCGCTAAGCTGAAAGTCCGTCCTCGGACTTTTGAAGTTTTAGGTTTTCCAAGTCGGCAATGGAAATTTTCGGCTTGAAGAAAAGCGTCTGGAGTCTTCTTCTTTTTCTTAAGACGAAGTAAATGCTCGCTGTGACGATGATGAGCATTAGGGTTGCCATGGACCAAGTTGTTGTAGACGTCACTGTAGGGCTTAGATGTAAGGGCTGTATGGCCGATAGCTGTGGTACATCTTTGAGTGGCTGCAACTCGTTGATCTGTAAGTTAAACTTTGGGCGGATCTTTATAGGGATGATATCAGGAACTTCGATTTGCTCTGAAGTAGTGCTGTAAATCTGTCCATTAATTTCGATTGGGCATGAAGAATAAACAATTGCTGCTTGACTAATATTTCGGTGAGTCTGGGAACATCTTTCAACGATTTGGATTGGCTCATTTGTACTGACGATCAGGTTTTTCTTTGTTTGGTGGATGACAGGCTGGGAAAGCTTGGCAGTGGTACAATTTTCTAAGCTGGGAAGCTGACATCTTGTGGTGGAAGCGGGTTGACATACGATTTTTGGTCCTACATCGGTGCATGTAGAATACCAGCGATTATCTCCATAGAAAGTTGCAGGAGGCAGTAGTACAATGTTTTCTTCATTATGTATGGGATAAATATGGTAAAGTCGGAAAGAGTGATCATTAAGGATCGGGATTTTGAAAAGGATGAGTAACTGAGTATTTGTGGTAATTAATGAACAACGTGAATTTTCGATAAGTTCAAAGGGATGTGAATTATCTGATAAAAGAGAATTTGATTTATATAAAGATTTTAGCTTTTCTTCTAAGTCAGTGATTTCGGAAAGTGAAAATAATTCTATGTTCGGTTGTTCTAGTGCAGATAGGTTTATACTTCTAATAAGCTTTAAAATGAATTGATTCAAACGATCAATATTACGAATTTCGCTTTGAAGAGTAATAAACTGCTGGAATTCATCTCTAAGAAAATTAATATCTTGTGTGATTCTCACTGTATTATTATTTATGGTTTCAATCAGAATATTATATCTTTTTATTGTTTCTGATGCATAACTTGTCGAATTATTAAGCACATTGATTATACGATTTTGTTTATTTTCGATACTGAAGATGTGCCTTTCCAAAAATATACGATCGTTTTCGTCAAGGTTGCCAGTCACTGATTTAATAAAAGTTCCCAAAAAGTTAGCAATTCCTTGCCTTTGACGGGGTCGGATTATTTTATGAAAATTGTCAAGTGTCTCGGAATAGAGATGGTTATATTGTTCAAATATTCGGTAGTTGGAAGTAGTGAGAGTCTTGTTAAGGAATAGGAAGTTAGTTAGAGTCATTTTAAGCGTTGCGTCGATAGCAGTTAGGTTAACAGTAATAATATGTCGGTGATAGTGATTTAACTCTTGAGCATGGCCTATCAGTTCACGATAGTATCCATTATTCGGGATCAGGTGCACTTGAAGGGCCAGGTTGTGGTTCGTCAGGATGACGATCCTGTAACAAGGGTATTTTCCTTAGACGTTTGATTTTTCTAGGATGGGTATTGGTGGGTCTATTTTTGGAAGTAACGGCCTGAATTTTGGTATTGCTACTAGAAGTAGTTTCGGCTGATACGTAAGGTGCAGATAATTTATTTCGGGGATTTTTCTGAATATATATGGTTTGGCCAGGTGCTGGAGCAGGAGTGATCTCGGGTAGTCTTTCATTGCGTTTATTTAAAATTGCTGTTTCTTTATCGTGGAGTTTTCGATAAAGAGAGTCAATGAAAGGTCGAAGTTCGTCTTTATGTCGTTGGTTATATTTTTCGTAGATAGGTAAGTCATTGTCAAAAAGTATTTCTTCTGCATATGGGCCATATAAGATAGAAAAAGGTGAATAACCTGTGGCGGAATGGATGGACTGATTGTAAATTAAAACACAATGTGTAACGAGATCAGTAAAATATTCTTTGGGGCGTTCGTCGTGCATAACACGGAGCTTTTCTGTAAAAGTAGAGTGAAATCTTTCGATAGGACTATTGGAATTCGGGTTGTTCACTGTCGTAAAGTGTAGCTCGATTTTGTGAAGATTTAAAAATTCTTTGAAGAGGTTATTTGAAAATTCGGTACCTTCGTCGCAGACTATTTTTCGAGGATAATTATGGTGGGAGAAATAGTGACGTAATTTGCTAAGGATTGTGGTATTCATTTTGTCAGGTATACTGTACACTTGGGCATACTTGGAAAAAGAGTCGATGATTGTGAGGAAAGTTTCTCGATTACAGGAAAATGTGTCAATATGAAGGATGTCGAAAGGCTTTTGTCCTAGAAGTGGACCTTTTAGGGGTAATTTATATGGGTGTCTCTCGTATTTATTACGAAGACAAATATCGCAGTGGTTAATATGCTCTGAAATTGTAGAACGCATATTAGGCCAGTAATAGTGTAATTTTAAATGACTAAGTGTTTCGAGAATACCATTGTGATTTTCCTTATGGTAATTTTGGAGATGTCGTAATTGGTCTTCGGGTCTCTCTACATCTTGAACTCGTTTGGTGCAGAAGAATATTTGGATGTTTTGGTTATAAGTATTACGGACGAAGTCGGAAATATATTTTTGGATATCGGGATTGTCAGTCAGAATGTAGTATCGTTGATTGGGGGCTATAGTTTGATGGAGAGCAGTCTTGATGTCGGTTTTCCAGTCTTTTTCGGAAAGAGTGATGAGATATTCGTGTTTGGACTTGAACTTCAGACGGTATTTGGTGTTAAAATCGGTGCCTAGATTTATTATGATCTGATTTGAAAAATGATTAATAGGTTCTTCTGAGAATGGGACGAGAGCAACGGGATTTTCATGAGAAGAATGTTGGGTTGATTGACCAGTTTCTTTTTCGAAAGATTGGTTAACGAAGTCATCTACATCAAAGTCGTCATCATCATCTGGAGGGTTGGCACACAGAGACTCGGATTCGTGCATATTTATTTCGATGCGACTTAAAGCATCGGCGACGACGTTTTCCTTTCCTTTCTTGTATTTAATTTCGAAATTGTACTCCTCAAGTTTGAGTTTCCATCGGACAAGACGAGAATTGGGTTCCTTAATTTTGTATAACCAGACTAAGGGGTTGTGATCTGTTTCCACAGTAAATTTTACACCATATACATAGGGGCGGAATACTTTGCAGGAATCGAGTATGGCAAGAAGTTCTTTTTCGATTGTAGAATAATTTTTCTCTGCTGAATTTAGGGTGCGAGAATAATAGGCTATCGGATTTCCTTTCTGTGTAAGGACAGAACCGATCGCTATGTTTGAAGCGTCTGTAGTGAGGGTAAATGGTAGGGAAAAATCAGGGTATTGGAGAATAGGGGAGTTACTGAGAGCGGATTTACATTTCTCGAAAGATTCAATATATCTGGGATCTTCGATATCGATTTTAGTACCTTTTCTAGTGCAGCGTGTCATGGGGTATGTGATTTTGGAAAAGTTCGGAATGAAACGTCGGTAGTATCCTACCAGACCAAGAAAGCTTTTGATTTCTTTCACCGTCTTGGGTATAGGAAAGTTTTCAATGGCTGAAATTTTTGAAGGATTTGGTTTTATGCCTTCAGGTGTTATGACGTGGCCTAGAAACGCTACTGACTTACTCAAGAATTCGGATTTATCGGGCTGAATCTTGAGGTTAACTTCTCGGAATTTTTGGAAAATCTGTTTAATATGAATTAAATGTTCCTGGAGGGATTTGGAAAATATGATGACGTCGTCCATATAGACAAAACAAGATTTGTATAAGAATTCTCTTAGGATTTCATCCATCATTCTCTCGAAAGTGGCTGGTGCATTTCGTAATCCGAAAGGCATTCTAAGGTACTCGAAATGACCGTTAGGAACTGTGAAAGCTGTCTTTTCTATAGAATCTGGGTGGACTTCGATTTGGTGGAAACCCTGTGCCAAATCAAGGGTGGTAAAGTATGAACAGCGTCCTAGGTTGTCAAGAATTTCGTCAATGCGGGGAAGAGGGTATTTATCTTCGATTGTGTTTTCGTTAAGACGTCTATAGTCGATGACCATACGGAATTTTCTTTTACCACTTGCGTCAAGTTTTTTCGCAACTATCCATACAGGGGCTGAGTAGGGACTTATAGAAGGGCGGATGACATTGTTCTGTAGTAATTTATTGATTTGGTCGGAAATTTCAGGTAGCATTGATTTTGGGTGTCGATAAGAGCGGGTGAAGATTGGTGTTTCATCTTTAGTTCGAATAACATGTTTTACAGAAGTAGTAACGGTTAAAGGAGAGTTTTCTGTATGAAAAATATCTTTAAATCGATGACAAAGATGGAGGATCTTTTCTTTCTCTTCTGCATTCAAATGGTCTGCCCGTAACAAATTAAGATCAAAATAATTGTCGCCAGACGATGGGGGAGTGATTTCTTCGAAATCTGAAATGGATGTGGCGGAGATTGGTTGTGAGAAGTTGATTTCAACATTGTTGGGACGTGGAATTTCTATGAATCCGTCTTCAGCTACATGAATTGATGCTGGAACTATTACTTGATTTTCATGTATAATATCAGAAATGACAACTTCGCCATTATTAATGGAGACCGGAATACGTAGTCGTTTATTACTACGGTAAATTATCTTAAATGGAATAGAGATCTGTAATTTTGGAATAGAAAATACATGTGTTTCGTAATCAATATTGGCTCCTAGTTGATCGAGTTCACCTGTACCTAAAAGTACATCGAAATCGTCATGCCAGTCGGCAATTCTAATTGTAAGGGCTTGCTGTATACCAATTTCTTCGAACAAAGGGTAGTAAAGATTGCGTGTATATGTTTTTGGGGTTTTCATCGATATGAGGGTAAAAGGTTCATAGAATTCATATTTCGAGTCGAAATTTTGAGCAGCTCTGGGAGTAATTACTGTATCAGAGCCACCGGAGTCGATGAGAACTTTTAATTTGGAATGTGGAAGGTAGAAGTAAGGAAGTTTCGTTGCTTTGGAAAAATTATTCAACTGAATGATTCTATGTTGGGTGCGGGTTCCATTGAGGCTGGTTCTAGAAAATTTTCCTCAGGAGAATCAAAGTTTTCGTAGCAATCTGTCTCAGGTATACAGTCTGCTTCGTTATAAGGTAAACTAGGCGGGGACTCGGGTTCACATTCAACATTATGATGGAACGTGCGGTAAGAGGACATAGACATTGGGGTAGGTTTGGAATTTGAAGATCTCTGGGAATGAATACCAGACATGGGAGTTGGTTTATATTGGTTTCGTTGGTCTTGTGAATTATTAGGCCTAGACGATGGACCAAAGACTTGATGATTTGTCGGAAAAGATTGTCTCTGTTGGATGGGCTTATTTATATCGCCAAAAGGTCTAGGGTGCATAGAATTTTGGTTGAAAGATTGATTAGACGAATTGGGCTGATTAAAATTACGATGGTATTGGTTATTGGGATTATTGGGTTTGTTCGAAGTATTGAAGTTGTTTGGATTGGGACGAGGTTGAGGTTTTTGGTAATCGCGGGGGTGATTCGTGGATTTCAAGTAAGACATGTATTGTTGTTGCTGTCTGTGATTGTCAAGAGAGATACACTTTTGGAGAGCATCATCTAAAGTATTCAATTCGAAATGAGAAAGATGGTCACAATAAGGGTTGTTGATGCCTGTGCAGAAAGTTCTTAGAGCTTGTTTCCGGAAAAATGAAGCCTTGAACTCTACTGCCTGGGCATTACTTTCACTTAATAAAACATGTTGTAAAAGGTCATTCAGTGCCAAGGTTATACGATGATGATAATCTTGGTAAGTCTCTGAGCGTTTCTGAACAGTTGTAGTTAATTGAGTTAACAAAATTTCTTCATTACGGTGGTCACCGTATTTTTGTAATAAAAGTGGTTTAATATCTGGCCACGAATTTTTATTATGAATGTTCAGAAAATCTCGAGCTTCACCTTTTACTTTGGATAAAATATGTGCATTAATAATATACAATTGTACTGCATCAGCTCCTTGTTGGTTGAAAAATGTGATTAAATTATCTACAGAGCTTATAAATGTAGAAAGATTATCTCCAACTTTAAATTCAGGAAGAGTATTACACAAGTTATTAACATCAGAGTTAGATATAACCATTTTTGTAGATTGTTCGAAAGTATTAGATGGGTTATCAACAATATCGTCTTCTGACCTCTTTGAATGTTTACTGTAGGGTTGAAATCTAGATTTGTTTTGCGACTTGTGTGAAAAATTAACTATAGCTTGAAATGAATCTTGAGGGTACTCAGAACTCATATGAAAAGGAAATGGACTTACAGGATGAGAAGAATCGCACTGATTTTCATCGCCAGTATGGTCCTCCAATTTCTCGGTGTTTCTTCGTGACCCCAGGTAGAAATCTGCCAAATCGTTAAGACGAACCGATGATCCTTCTTGGGTGGATGCCGTGCAGATATCCTGTTCGCAGCGCCAATTATGTTTCTCAGCCACAACAAGGAGTTTTTAAAAAATATTTATTTTGTAGACATGAACGTGTTACAAGTTGGAATGATAATGAATTAAATATAAAAAGAAAAATAGTTTTAATAAAGGTTTCTGCTGTCGTTGCGACTGGCGGTGTCGTCTTGCTGACGCCTCGGGTTCTTGACCTATAACGCGCGCGAAACGTGTTTTTTATTTTTGCACGATTTTTGTAGTGTTCTTGAATAACCTTAATGCGGTCTTCAATCGAATACGACTCCATAGCGATCAATGGTAAACATTCAACTAACAAAATGACATGTCGGTGACAGAAAACAAAGATGGCGTCTATGTCAAATTGACGTTTACTTTCCTGCGTCCCTATTGGACAACCCTTTATATCCCGGGAAAATCATGAAAATAATGTCACGGTGGTTTTCCTATACAACTACTGGTTTTCAAGTTATATCACCGTACTTGGGTTCGACTTTGACTATGTGAGTATCTGGGAAAAACTATCAATCGGGGGGCGGGCTTAGTTTTTTCATGCCATTATTAGTTCATAAATTCTGTATATCATATTTCTCACCCAGAGAGTTTTTCAGTAACTTGTTGCAACTCGTGAAAAGAAATTAGTAACGTTTCTCTGTTGCTAAGAACTGCGTCACCGTGCACAAAATATTGAGAATTGTTTTCAGGCAAAACCAAAGACGACCGAAATTACTTTTTTAAAGAATTCTTGACAGTAAAGCATATTCTAATACTAGCATAAAGTCGCGGCTCCGCTCGCGTGGAAGTAATTTAAAGTATAGGTATACCTAGCTTGAAGATTAATTTCGGAGACAGATATGCAATATTCAAAGTAATGCAATAGTTACTTCGGTAATAGATACTTTTTATTCAATATATAAACGTCAATGTCTCTGCAATCTGTCAGCATCACATCTAATTTGAAATATGAACAGTCGTACGAGGAATTTTTTATTTGAGAGACGACTTCAGCATTGGAAACGTAGATCTTTAAGCTTTATATGTGCCGATATTTAAAGGGTGTCTATGAAATGCTTGAACTCCTCGACAACTTCGCAACTACGCATTTTCGTGAAAAAAAAAAACACGTCATAAAACGAGTTTTAGGATAACAAAAGCAATTTGTCGATGACCCCAAATATGACCTCTAAGGACACTATCACTAACCAGGATCAAAGTCTTCCTACAGCTTTCATTCATATTACTCAAATAATAAATTTTTGTTTACAAAAAGGATACCACCCTAAACAGCGGAAGCTGGCCTTCATTATACCAGTCCCTAAAATATCAAATTCTACTGAACCTAAACATCGTAGACCTACGAGGGTTGTTTCAAAAATAAGCTTCCCAACGCTGTAACTTTCCCGCGCTTGATGTTAGACGAAATCTCGTAATACCGTCATGTTTGTCGGCTCCGCCACCGCCGATCCCAACAAGAAGCGCCTATTCGCGACGCTCAGTACTGGCTTGACAGACATGGGTAATGGAACCCTTCATCGCCGTCACCGGTGCGAAATTATAGTATATGGGAAACGTGTTTAAACATTCAAAATGGCCTCAAATGGTGAAGACAGTTCTTTGACGACCGCATCCACGATGAATAACGAAGCGTGAGATCGTCGATCTCCGAGGAAGTTATAGCGAAGATTGAGCAAATCTTGTTCGAAGATCGGCGCATCACGATCCGGGAACAGACAGTTGTAATTGTTGAGGCTTCTGAAAAAACTGAGACGGGCAATTCAAAATCGTCTCACGACAAACGAAGGACTGAATCGAGCGACTTGGCTGGGAAGTCAGGAGCTCGTAGGCGGTCAACGGTTCGAGACGGACGAGGAGTTGCAAGAAGTAGTTACCAAGTTTCTAAACGGGCTGGTCGCGAACTTCCTTGACGCGGAAGTGCAAAAGTGGAATTCACGTTTAAAAAAATGACGACTATCGAGAAAACTACCTTAAAGATCGTTTGCAATGGTGAATTCGTTTTTCGCATAAAAAAAATCCTTGTGCCTGACAAAAATGTGGGAGCCTTGTTTTTGAAAAATTCCTCGTATATAAGATAATCTTGAAAAATGAAAATTATTTCCACATGAGGTTGTAGTATCGTCTGATGAAAAATATTAACAGCACACCGCTACAAAAGTATGCAACCCGCCATATCCGATATCTCATTTTCGTCCTTTTCCGTGGTTTGCTTTTAGGCAAAATAAGCGGTACTATTATCAAAACATTGCGACGGGCACCAGCCAATGGGAGTACCCCGCACCCGACGAGGCGTTGCCGCCGCAGTTGCCCGCCCCCAAACCGCCGAGCCCCGCCGCTCCCGAAGACGACGCGATGGACATTTGCACGACTCCGCCGCCTCCGGAAGAGGACGTGGCAACGGCGCAACCGCCTCCACCGCCGCCGCCGGCAACGTCGCCGCCTATTCCGCCAGCGCCGCCTGTGATCAGTTGCCCCTCGCCACCTCCGGCGCCTATTATTAGTGGATTGGAGACGGGGCAGCAGGGACCGTTGCCGCAATGTTTGCCTCCACCGCCGCCCCCAGGTTTGTTCTTCCTCATACTCATTTTTGTTGCTTTCTCACGTTACCACAATTATCCAGCTGATTCGGTTGCGAGTATACCATGGTCATTAGCGTGTCCCAACCTATCGGGGCAAAATAAGCATTACTTTGTTAAGTTCCTGTTCTATAGTCAACGCCAAACAAAGTGGCGTGCACGTCATCAAGGTGGGTGTGTTGAAAAATTTACATTGTTGCCAAACTTTTTGTAAAATAATAAAATTTATTATTTACATATCTAGGTTTATAAGCAATATTAACCTCAAATGAGAACAAAAATAATAGTATAATAAAATTATAGATCTGTACTTGCATAATCATTAAGTATGACAATTATTGATCAGATGACACTATGAAACTACCATATTTAATTGATAGCTTAAAGGTACTGAATAAAAATCCAAATGGGGTCCTCCAAATTTTATGCATGGTATTTATTTTACAGAATTCATACAGAAAAATGCATTCTAAAATTAGGTAAGCTACTGGTGTAAGCTTTTTCTGTACAATAAAGTTAGTCGGAGTTTCTTTCTTCAGCGCTGTCTGAATCTGAATCTTCATCACTCTCAAAGTTAATTATTAAAGGTTCGATGTCTGGTCGATCAAAAATTCGTTCTCTTTCATACCATTTAAAAATTTCTTGCTCAGTATGTCGAACACTATTTTTCCACATGTCTGGGGTAACCGTTTGTAGAGCCTCGTTCCACATATCCAAACAGTCTTTTTCACTGTTACCATCTCTACCAATATGTCTGTTATAGTAACCTTTTGCTATGCCCCAAATTAACTCAATAGGGTTAAATATACAATGGTAAGGAGGCAGACGAAGAACTGTGTGCCCATGTTGTTCCGCCAATTCATCAATCACGTATATTTTAGGTGGTTTGTTTCTAAAAAAGCAGTTATGTTAAGAATAGGAATAAACAAAAGAAATATAAACTGTCGACCAAAATATATATAATTAAGAAGCATTATGTACCGAGCAACAATACTCAATAGCTCTGTTTTAAACATTGTGTTTAAAAATGGTATGTTTTGATTTGTCAACCAGTCTTGGATATTTTTTTTTGTCCATGCATTGTTGGGCACTTTGTTCAATATCATGCTGTGATAAGGGGCGTTATCCAGTATAATCATAGATGGACTCTCCAATTTTTCTAATAACTGATGTTGAAACCATTTCAAAAAATTGTCCTGGTTCATCTCTCCATGGTAATCGCTCAATTTTGTTTTCGAAGAAAATATCGCTTCACTACCCTCAATAAACCCATTTTCATTTCCAGCATGTAATATAATGTATCTAAAATATATTAGTTTTAAATTTTATAGTGCAAATTGTGTAAAAGTGCATACCTTTTACCATCTGTTTTAATAGCTTTCACGCTTTTTTGGTTTCCATTTTGCCAAGAGCGACCTATGGTCCCATTTTGAAATATCCAAGTTTCATCGAGGAAGACAAACTGGTATAAGGCCTCAACCTTGGCTTGATTGTATTGCCTTAGAAATTCCACCCTTTTCAAAGCTATACTTGGTAGTTCCATGAGCCCTCGTCGCGGATTGTCCTTAAGCCACTTAAATCCAAGATCTCTAAGCAACCGCCTTAAAGACGTGGCACTACCATCAAATAATGCCCTATCTCTTAATCGAGACCATAAAGTTTGTATCGTAACTTGTTCTTCTGAAACCATGTGTAATATGACATTATAATTTAGTTAACAAATTAATGCAAATTTCTGATAAGTTATTATAATAAGATCTTACTTTTGTGATACATATTATAGATCACTTCTCGAATGGCACTTGTATCCAATGTCGCTGTGTTGGTTACACGTTTAATATAACTCCGCTTTTTCTTGGGCGATTCTAAATTTGCATCACTTTTCACACCCTCGGAAATACGACTAACTGTCCTTAAACTAATTTTTAAAGCAGCAGCAACACGCTACAAAAAATGAAATAAAATTTCACTATTATTAATATACATTACATATAATTATTAGTAACCTACCTCTTGAACAGCATTTAAAGGCAACAAAGGCCCGTTGTTGTCCCTTTCTTGCTCAAAGTAGTGCATTAACGAGGCCACGAGTTCCTTACACCGACTATTTAACTGTTTGGGCATCTTTATATACCAAAATTGCCTTTATCTACTCGTAAAATGAATAATTTTGTTTTGAAACAAACAGTTGTTGATTTACAGTATGCGGGGCCAAAGGATTTATAAATATTTGAAATGAAACAAATTGATTCAGTGTCAAAATTAATACAAATGTCAGTTCCCAGTTTAAATAAGTTTCAAGGTGACAATGTGTCAACGCTGCGAAATCGGTTTAGTGCGTTTACATGTCGATAAGTGATTGGAGCGTTTGCAAAACATTTTATTTCGCATAATGCGTCTAAATTTATCAGAAAGCAACTTATGTGATATTTTAATAACAATGTTTATATGACTATTAACCATAATAAGAGAGTAATGACCATTTTACAATTTATATATCACATTAATATGAAACTGCAATAGAGCAATTGTTTGTGATAGAAACCTAGGCATTAGGTCGGGGAATTTTTATCGTAATGACGTGCACGCCACTTTGTTTGGCGTTGACTATAAGAGCACACAGGCACCGTATTTAAAGCAGTAGTATCACAACAGAGAATCTGAACTTTAGCTTCAAGATAACAGTCAATAGTGGCATCCCAAACTGCTTGAGCCTGCTCGCTGCTTGAAGAGCCTAAACCTGTATAGTCTAACCATATTAGCCAAAAATTCCTCTGGGTTTGTGAAATAATTGAAAAGTCTGGTTTTATTGATGCAAGTTGTTCAAGGGGGTATTTATACGTAAATCATGGACGCATAAAATGGGTAAGTACACCAATTTTTTGTGGGAAAACTTTCTATTAGACGACAAAGAATGAGAAAACTTGTTTTTTGGGATTCAATCGAAAGTATTGGAAAAAACGAAAAAACTCTTCAAATAAGATGTTTAGGTATTTATGAGACCCACCGAATGAGACCCCACGTAGGAAGATCCGACTAATAGTAAAAAAGTTATGGTCCGAGGCAAGACGCAGGTTCTCCCACTTGTTGCTGATGCGACGATAGTTTCACGTAGATACTTGAAATTCTTCAAATTCGTAGGTTTCATACATCTATACTAAGTAACATATAAATATTGAAATATTGAATTTTGTTTTATTTGAAATATTTCTTATATAATTTGGTAATATGTTATATAATCTACTGGAAAACTACGTATGACATCTTTGGCCTATACTTTTTGAGGTGACAGGTGTTTGCTTAATGTTATTGATTTTGTTTCTAGTTTGATATAAGTGATCTAACGGAATAAGATTATTATCTATTATATATATATATATATATATATATATATATATTCCAAACAGACGACATCCAACTCGCTCAGTATTTGTAAGAGTGCATCGCCAAATAATTGAAAATGGTTTTGGAAATCTCCAAAGGGATCAAAACATAAATGTTCGTCAGCGCAGATTTACCCGTATGATTCTGCGTGAGTTTGATAGAGATCCGACCACAAGTGTTAGGAGAGTTTCTGGTGCCTTGGGAATTTCAGCAAGCCATGTTCACCGTGTTCTTAGAAATGACCATAGACGTTCTTACCATTCGCAACCTGTGCAAGGACTACAGCCAGGGGACGGAGAACGAAGAATCACATTTTGTCAGTGGATTCTTGATAGAACTGATAATAAGTTTTTAAGTAACGTTTTCTGGACCGATGAGTCATGCTTCACTAGACGTGGAGTGGTAAATTTTCATAATCAACATATTTGGTCGCATGAAAATCCGCATGCAGTTCGGGAAAGAAATTTTCAGCATGAATTTAGTGTGAACGTGTGGATTGGTATCTACCGTAATCGACTATTTGGACCCTACCTTTTGCCTGCAAGGTTAAATGCTGCGACCTTCTTGGAATTTTTAAGGACTGAACATGCAAATATGTGGGATGATGTTATGTTAGATTTAAGAAGATTGGCCTGGTTCCAGCTTGATGGTTATCCAGCTCATTATTCGAGAATAGTTAGAAATTGGCTGGACAAAAATTATCCAGAAAGATGGATCGGCCGTGGAGGACCAGTCGCTTGGCCTCCACGATCCCCCGACCTAAATCCATTAGATTTCTTTGCGTGGGGATTTCTAAAAGAAAAAGTGTACCAGACTCCCGTAACCACAAGAGATATGCTAATAGACAGAATCAGGAACGCATGTGATGAAATAAGGCCATATTTGAATAATGCTATACCACGTTCGATCATTCGTAGAATGTGAATTGTGTATTGAACAATTGGGTTTTAAATTTCGAGCAACTACTTTAGATTTTGTATGTTTTTCCTAACTATCCAATAGCATTTTAGTTGTAAATAGTTAATTTAATTTGTTAAAAATAATACTGGAAAATTAAACAAATTAATATTCTGTTTTTTTGTGTTTATTTGGAGTTAGGAATTATTGCGATCATCTTAATTGCTTGTAATGCCCAAATCGAAAATGTAAAAAAAAAAATATTATTTTCCCATAAATAATTAAAAATGCATCGAACCTTAAAAATCGAAATATCTCAAAAAAGGCTAACTATAACGAAAACTCACAGGAGAGCTTTTTTATGCAGAAAAGTGCGAAGAATCAGTTTTTTTATTCAAAAAGCAAAAAATTGCACTAAGAAAAAATTTTCGGTCATTTTAATAGACTACAGGTACAGTAGAGAGCGCCCTCTAGCGGCTACAGTAAAACTATGCCCATGGTTCGTTTTGTCGTACCAAAAAACCCTTGTATACCAATTTTCACTGTTATACATCAAATATTGTTCGAAATATTTAAAAAAAAACTATTTTAAAAAGTAAATTTAAACACCCTGTATTTCGGAAGCCACGCATTTTTCGACCCATGTTTATATAGACTTTAGGCATTAATTTTAAAAGTTCTATCGAATCTTAAAGTTATGCAACAA